TAGGGAAACAGTAACACTTCTGGAAACGACACACAATAATAAATAAGCTAATACATCTTTATGACTTTGTTCTCAGAAATAGTATATCTGTTTATATGTCCCATATCTTTTCTGTAAGGAAAAAGGAAATGTAAATGTTAAGAGATAGTGTCAAAATTGAAAGCTCGTTATATGCCGGAATTAGCATAGAGAAATCCAATGTTACCCATTGTCATGTTTATGATTCTTACTAGCTTTGCCATATATAAAGGTACCGGCAAAGTAATAGCCTGCATATTGTTTTAATATTCCTCTTAAAACCTGCACAGATTATTTATATATTTTTGGAACTTCTAGCTTAGAAGTGGTAAGGTAAATCTAGCTATTTTCTAGCTAGATTAAAAATGTTTCAATGGTTATTTGATTTTCAGTTGTATAACTAACTATAGAATGTGTTAAAATTTTGCTAAGAGCATAAAATGTTACGTTAAGAGCATGCTCAGTCCTGCAAGCCTAGAATTATAGCAGAAACAGTTCTGTGCCTTTGCTAAGCAAAAATACCAGTTTAAATGGAAGCACTGAAGCCGTGCAGAAAGAATTTAATATTAATTTTATAATTTCATAGCAGTACCTACAGTGAAGCCTTCAAACCAGAGGTTATCCTCTAAGGTGAATGGTGATGAGCTAAGCCCTGAGAATGCCTTTACAAAGAGAAGGAAGCGAAACCCAGATGACGCCACCCAATATACTGTTGCCATGGTCATTATATACCGATCGCTAGGACAGCTTTTACCTGAAAACTATGATCCTGATCGAAGGAGCTTGAGGTAAACTTTAGACCTGTTTGTAAATCATGCAGAAGCCCTTACACTTGCTCTAAATGCACAGCAGAGGCTACATTTATGTTGATCAAATGTCATGCGTGATGCACTTGTCACTGCAATACTGTCTCTTGTCCTTCACCCCACGTTGTGGGAGAATAACCGCTTCAGTAGTGCTAATTGCTTTTGAAATCTGTCTGTGTGGAAGACTGACAGTGCCTCTACTTCACTTTCTCAATGGAAGCAACTCAAAATCTTTTATTTGCAGAAGTTACCAAAACAGTGTTTTGCATTGTAATGTTTAGATCATTTTGCAATTTTTCTCCCTCTGCAGGTTGCCAAATCGCCCAATTATTAACACACCTGTAGTGAGCACCGCCGTTCATAGTGACGGGGAGCTTCCACCCAACCTTGTGGAAAAGCCCATCATCCTGGAGTACGCCATGTTGCAAACAGAGGAGCGAACGAAGCCCGTCTGCGTGTTCTGGAATCACTCTATTGCGTATGTCTCCTGGTTTCTTTAGGGCTATGCGTGAGATCTGTCTCTAACGGAGAAGTCTAGGCTAGGTAGATAGTTCAGGAGGAGAACATGATGTCTTTTGCCTTAGTTCATTCAATAGGCGGCTAATTCCTGGTGGAATGGAGCCACGTAATCAGCAAGGGAAATATAATCATCATAACTCCCTGAACAAAGGACTAGCTGTGTGCTTTCTAACAAATTCATGCAGTGCCATCTTGTCTTCTTGCATGGTTTATTTTTACTCGGTAATAGTAAATCTCACGTTCTACTTGTTTTTGCTCATGCTCTTTGCCCGCAACATATACAGGCACAGTCTAGCTCGAATGCATGGGTTCATAACTCACCTGAGGTCCCCAAGTCAGGAATCTCATTGCCCCATGCTCTCTTTTTAGGAGGGCATCTCCAGAGGATAATTCCATCTTATATGGGCTGCATCTTCTCCTGTCACACTCCGGTGACTGTAGACAGAATATAAGGCAGGCCGGCAGCTAACCCAGATGCCTCAGCCAGGGCCAGTGCAAAAAATAACAAAAACTAGTCTTCATGTCGGTAAAAAGGAGGCTTGAGGTTTTGCAGATAAAATGGCAAGACTGGAGACTGTATATCTCAAAGATCATTTTGGAATCAACAGTCCAGCCAAAGACCGTTTTCCTGATAAGAAGCAACCTACCTTTCCTTCCATCAGCTGCTGTGTATTTCTTTTCATTTGTTTTAGTGAAAAACTGGAGGAGAAGAAAACACCTTCTTCGGGACCTTTGGCATCTCCCTGTTGCCACTGTTATTAGGAAGCAGTCCCAATACAGGACAGCAGAGCATGCTGGACTGTCAAGGAGGGAGGTGCGAGAGAGCTGGTGCAATATTCTGAAAGGGCTCATTTAGGGCTTTTGTATTTGGAGAAGTTAAAGAACTTTAAAGGAGCTGTTAAGAACTGTGTATCCACATGAATGTTTTGCTGGGTTTATGGCATTGTGAAAACACAACAGTCCCGTTGCAGATATTTCAAGAGTGCGATAAAGGAAAAGAAAATATGTTGAGAGGTAACTACATGCTCAGCAAGTTACAATTTCACAGTATTGTAACTATTACATAAGCAAATTTCAACCATAAAACCAGACGTATACTGAGAGGATGATATTGCCAGCCCAGGGTAAGAGGAGTAGCTATTACTGTTTTCCCTAATGATCCCAAGCCTCTAGTAAACCTCTGGAAAAAATCTATTAAGAGGGAATATCCTGTACTGGAAATAGAAAAGCAAACATTTGCCTCCTGATCAAAAAAGGCTTATTGAGTTTATATCATTGAAAGTATCAAAGAGGCAACAAAAATCTATCAATCAGTGATTTATTACCAATAATAAACTACTCCATTTGCCTGCTTGTAAAGTAGAGATGATAACAGGACAAAGGTTAGATAAGCAATTTCTTAACATCCTACTTACTTTTATGTACACATGACTCTACCAAATAGGAGGGAATGGCAGGTGCTTTTATCATAAATTTTTAAACATAGTATGGGCTTGAATAACTCATTAGCTCTAAAGTGTTTCATCAGTATTTGCTCGCAACTGCGTTGGCGTTGCTGTCTGATTTCCTATAACCGTAGTTAAAAAGCATGTAACAAAAGAGTTTTTAAAAAAAGGTAAAACATTGCAAGAGAAAGTGATGTTAGAGCAGTTTAACAAGTATTTTATTGCTGAATGAAAAAGATCACCTGTAATGTCTAATTAAAATCTCTCTCAGTAACTACGAGAGAATTTTTATTACTCATTAACTTCAGAATAGAGTAATTACTATTGATGCAAAATCATTTCTAAAGTCGATTGAGTTAAACAAGATTGAACTGGGAAGAATTTTTAAGGGAGCAGTTCCTCCACAATGTTAATACTGGAGACCTCCTGGTATGAAGTATTATTTACTATTTTTAGCATTTTCTTGTCTACTTTTTAAAAGAAATCCATGACAGAGATCATATTTCTGCTGAAACGTATTTCACATAAGAGTATTACAAGCAATGTCTAAATTGAGGGAAATAGGGGCGACCAAAAAATATTTATCTATCTGTGCTTCTGGTCTTTTCACCCCACATAGCTGACAGCACTTTGCTGTGGCCAGTTCCACAGTTTGCACTGTGTGATCACTTTACCTTCTTGCTTGTATGGTTACTGACAAAATGCAAGTTTGTTATTTTTTAATCAAAGCAGGTTTCTATAAAACCACAAAATTTGGCAGTCAAAGTCAGGTGTCATATCAGAAACTACTTCTAACTCAAGACTTTTTTAGGTTGATCAAACTCTTTAAGGCAGGTGAAAACTGTAAGTATTTATTTGTCTTGGTACTAAGTGACCTTTCTGGTTTCAGAGCCATGGCTGCCTCAGAGAGTAGTAGCAGTGGGAGGCAAGGGGGCAATCACAGGACGGCATTCAGAAGTGACCCTTTTTCCCCACAGGACTGGTGGAACAGGGGGCTGGTCCTCCAAAGGGTGTGAGCTGTTTTCCAGAAACCAGAGCCATATCGCTTGCCAGTGCAACCATCTAACCAGCTTCGCCGTCCTAATGGACATTTCGAAACGAGAGGTGAGTGATCCCTGGCTGGTGCATCAGCGTGATTTTCGAGGGGGCTGAGTTTGATTCAGAGCGTCTCTTGCAGCATGTCAGGAGCGCGTTGCCCTGTACCTGACAGCGCCCGCCGTTGCACCTCCCTTCTCTATCTGACAGGAGCCTTTTGCCTGGTCATTGCACGGTGTAGTCAGCAATGCATAACCTCCCAGGCTACACCGTGCAGGGGCGTGCGGAGGAGAGAATGAGACAAGCATTACAGTTATCGTGATGACATTGACAGCTGATGAAAATGGCGTCGCTTGATATTCCGATATTAAGAATCACAATAAGCCAGGAGCAAATACACAAACCGCAGAGGTCTTTCAGCCTCTCAGGATGATATCAACAGGGCAGACCAGCCTCCAGTTATTTAGGATTCTTGCTTAATTCTTTGTCCCTTTGGGTATTGCCCATACATGCTCAAAAGGTTGAGGGACTCAAGAGGTGGCATTCCCATTGTCCCAACTCCAACTGGTCCTAAAGAAAGTCTGTATGTTGGCTCAGCAGTAATGAAAGTACTGGCTTTGCAAGTAGTAGCTTCGACTGGAGGAAAAGGAAGGAAAAACTCACAGAGGCCCTCTCAATCTGTCGTTCTGCAGAACGGGGAGGTACTTCCTCTGAAGATTGTCACTTATACAACTGTATCCATTTCACTGGTGGCCTTGCTGATAACCTTTATATTGCTGGTTCTCATCCGTACACTGCGCTCCAACTTGCACAGTATCCACAAAAACCTGGTGGCTGCCCTTTTCTTCTCTGAGCTCGTCTTTCTCATTGGGATCAACCAGACTGAAAACCCGGTAAGACTTACTTGATGCTTGTAGTATACCACTTTCTGTGCGATTGTTAAAGTTGTTGCCAAGCCTTAATTTGGGTTCATACTGCAATTTTTATTTGCATCCATCTGTTTCACTTTCTCTCCTTTTTACCTCTGTTTGGACTAAACAGTCATTTGAAAAGCGTCAAACTTTTATTGTTCTTTTGTGTTTTACATGATGAATAGTAATTCCAGGAGATGGGACTATCCTGCTGTATGTTGTTTTCAGAGAGCAAATCACAGCAGCCATGTTGAGGGCTTCTCTCAGGAATTGAACCCTGAATATTGATTTCTTTCTTCCTTTCCAACAGTATATTTTCTGTCTTACTTTGTCTGTTCAGTGGAGGGTCTCCAGTTTCTCCTGCAGCAGGGACCTTACAAGCCCAAATAGCTCCTGGCGTTGACTGGCAGGATTTCAACTGTGTTGCTGTGCAGGTGCTAATATGCATGTTGCACATGCACCAAGGCCATTCTGGAGAAGCCACTTGCCAGGCAAGGGTAGCTTGCTACATTCAAGAAACAGGAGGAAACCTGTTGCTTTGCTTTGTGCTTTCCAGCTGCAGTGATTTTTGGCTTCAGCCCATCACAACTGTTGCCATAGCTTAGTGCAGGCTCCTCCAGCATTGTGCATATCAAGAAGCACAAGTGAGGAATGAAACTGAATATGAGATATACAGTGTCTATGTTTTGTGCCCAGGACATCACTGCTATCTTAACCGTGTAGCATTATACATAATACTGCTGTTAATTCTTAATAGCACCCATCTCAAAAAACCTGGTTACCATGAAGATAGGTAGAAGAAAAACAGGCAAAGCCTTGTTCCATCACCACAAAGTTTCAGAGTCTCCTGTACCAGTCAGCAGACAGATGGGGGATGACGTGTAAAAAGTATATAATATCATATGAATATGTCCTTATGGAAATTAAGAACATTCAGAATGTTAGCATAAGAGTTGTCTGAAGACTCTAAAGAAAATGTATCTTTTAAAAATCCTTTATTGTACATTTCAATTTAAATCTTGTGAGAAGCACAATTTTGTGAGGAAAACATGAAAGAATGAACCACACTGCTTCAGCACTGTCCAAGGAACAGAAATGGGAGAAAATGCCTATATTTAGTGTATAAAGACACCATTATAGTAATGATACCTTTATGCCTAACCATCTAGCCTAATCTAGTCTATGACACAAGCCAAGAAGTGTCACCCTGTATTCTCATACCCGCCTGAGCTGTAACATACATTCTAGAAAGAAACTTCACTTAGAGGTCTGATGTGATAGCAGAGTCCCTTTGCTCTATTAATAAGGTGTCATAGTGTCTCATCTCAGTTAAACATGCTGTGTTTCCAGTCAGATTTTGTCTAATTTCAATTTCCAGTCACTGGATCCTGTTAAGGCCTTTTCCTAATAAATTTGAGAGACCTCTGCTATCAGATCTGTCTTCCCAAGAAGCCTCTACTCAATAGTAGTTCTTTTGGAAAGCAAAACAAAGTAGACCTCCTTAATTTTTTCACTTTCTAAGATTCAAATCACTCTACTGGCTTTTTTCCCCCACCTTTTGGAAATTTTTCAATGCTAAACTGGATAAAGCGTTCCAGCAGGTAGTGCCACTTCCTACCCCGTGTTCTGATATTCCCCTGAAGCAGGACCTCCTGTCTCTTACCTGCTGTTATACTGTCTTTTGCAGTAGCCTGCTCTACGGGATATGATCTCGCATCCTGTGTGACCTACAGTCTTTGCTCCGTAATATATGAGTTTGCGTATTAAAGTAACCCTTGCTCAAATGAATTCACCTTAACCAATTTATCCCCAGCGCTCTCTGTAACTTGACCTTTCCCATGCCTTCTTGAGCGCACCACTCATTTTTCACTGCATTTCACTAGCAGGGAGTTTATACTTTTTCAGATCAGTAACATGAAAACTGAGGAGCTGAACCCAGATCCCGATAGGATCTTGCTAAAAGCACCACAGTAAATGAAGATTCCTCATCTCCAAATTCCGTTTGTAGTATCATGAAATATCAAGCAAACAAATATAAAGCTAGTAAAACAGTTCACTTCAGCAGTACCGCAAACACCAATGCAGTGTACTTCATGAGACTGTTCTCTTTTGCTCTTTCCCATTTTCACACTACTGGGTTCATGGTGCGCTAATGTCCTGTACAGTTCAGTTTCCGGGACTCAGCGAAACATCCCGAACTTTTAACCCACTTATGAAACCCTTTAAACTGCAGAATATATTTCATACAAGAGAAGGCTGCTCCTTACAGCCCAACCAGTCAATCTGAGAAGTTAGGAGGGCTGTAAGCTATGTCTACTTGAGAGAATTATTCATCTGTCTGTGTGGAATGAGAGTTGTCTAACGAGTCATGCACTGATGAACATAAAGAGGAAAAGAATGTTGGAGCCCAAATAATGTTGTGCTACTTGGCACCGAGCCTGGCTTTTATGGGTTTTTGTAAATTAACAGTCACATTTCTGGGTGAGGTTTTAATCTTTCCACGGACTATTGATAGAAAGTGATTTATTTTCTTTTATTTTCTTTTCTTTTTTTTTTACTTACCTGAAAAAGGTAATATTCAGGGCAGCAAACTACACATGTACATGTGCCAGTAGGAACAAAAAGAGACCTACTCACATAGAGGAAGGAAAGGTCTTTTATTTGGTGAGCTACATTTTCAGTAATGTTTAGTGTTGTAATAAAGCTGATGCAGTGAGTGAATCCAGAAAGCTGGTGGTCTTTATATGATTCTTTCACTGTGTAAAGTTAAACAAGGAAATATGGCTTATGGCTCTGAGCGTTATAGCATGGAAAAGCACTAAAAAATTAGGCCAAAATCTGAAAGCTTGGACAGTGCTACACAGGAACAAAAGTTCAAAAACACAATGTCAAATATTTTGAAACAAAAACTAAATGCTTACACAAAGTGATCTTAATTCAAACTTAGCAGCAGATTCTAAGCAGAGTCCTTTAATTTGCTTCTGAAGGAAGAAGGTTAGTTTTTAGGTCTTAATGTAGCTGCTGGATGCTGGTGGTCCTTCCTATTTTCACCCATCAGGTAGTTAAGCTGGGAGCAAATGTTGGTTAGCACATATTACAGATATGCAGCTCTGTGAAGATCACAGGGTTCAAAATATCCATTTGGTCACAGAGATGCCTTGAGCTACCAGTTTTTAACTCACTGTAGGTGTTTTACTGAGTCACATTAACAGCACAATCTCTTTGGTTTCAGAGGGTCCTTCATTTTCACTGGCCTCAGGCTGGCACAGTTGATGGCCCACCTATTCTCATGCTGCTGCTATTGGATAAAAACCAAAACCAGGTCTGGAACTTGAAGGTGTAGCTCTTCTTGTTCATAGCTGAAGATGTAAACTACCTGGCCAGCGTCAGGCCAGCCATGCCAGCTTTCCGGGTCTCCTCATGCCTCATCTGTGCTCATTGCAAAGTAGCTTAGCTTCAAGAGGAAGGTTAAATGTTTCTGGACCCAGCATACCCTACAGCCTGGCAGTTAGGGCATTTTTCTGCACTAGAGGTGAAGGGAAGTTAATCCTCCCCGCACAGGCTGGGTAAGGCGTAGAACCCGCTCTCCCACTTCATAGTCAAATATTCTGATTTTGGTATTAGGGGAAATGTTGGTTCCACTTTTTGGATTTATCTGGGAAGTGGGCAGCAGTCTACTTCAGGCTGTATCATTTTAGTCCAGTGATAATGGCCAGGTGTCCCCAGTAACTTGTTGAGATATAGCTATCCAAGGGTTTGCAGGGTTAATCAGTGAAGGGCCGAGGCACAAGGGCAGAGGAGGCACTCATCACCTTTGCCTGTGCAAGCATCCATGCTTTTGAACCTCGAATCTTCTTAAAGAATCCCAGAAAAGGAGCTGCAGATGGAACGCTTTCTAAATGAAAAAAAAACCTTTCTTGTTATTTTTTTTCCAGTTTTGAACAAAATTGTAGCATGGCCAAACAATCTTATCCATAGCCTGTTTCTATTCCTGTTAATGCAGCTTCACTGTCTCCTTTTCATACCATTTGCATTAGCACTCATGAGGCTCATGAGTTACCATCTTGTTGCATAAGCCTTGCCTGGTCTCCAGGAGCTGAACTCTCAGCTGCTTCGCCCCAAATTGTTACTGCACCTGAAGTCTAGACTGAACGTCAAAGATCTTTATGATACAGTCACGTAGGCACAAAATGGTCTGCTGATCTTATGCTAGATCATGATTTCACGTGAAATTTTCCCTGTTTGTGAGACATATCTTTCATTTAACTGACAAGAAAATACCTTGAGGGAAGGTTGGATTTCTTTAAGTCTATGGATCACCTATTGCTCATGTGCAGCAAGTTCACTCTTCCTGGACTGGCGCTACACAGATTTCTGTCCCCAAAGTGGAGTTTGTCAGGGCAGGAAGGAGGACTTTCTGGTCCTAAACTGGAGGCCGAAGACCCATCTCACAGCTCACCTCCCTCTCTGCCAAACACAAGGGGAGTTTACTTGTACTTTTTATTTATTAATATTGAGCACAAAACAGTGTTACATAAAACAAAACAAAACTGTACCAAATTGGAGCCTTCCTTGAGCAGATGGCTCTCTCAGTGGAAGTGAAGTAGCAGGAAACCCCACAGGACAACCCGTAATTTGGTAATGGGAGACACTGAGTCAGTCAGTGCAGGGATGAAGGCGGCAGCTCAGGAGCAGTCTGTTGGCTGCACAGGAAGGTGGGTTTGCCTCAGGCAGTCCTCACGGAGCAGTTAAACTCACCGTTGCTGAGTTCACAGGCCTACCGGCGCACGGGTGCGGGCCAGTGCGCAAGATGGAGCAGAAGGTCTGCAGCCTCCACAGGAGTAGCTCAGCTTTCTGCTGCACTTCTGTATGCCAGGAAAAACTGCCACAGCTCTGAGCTCTGCCCTACGGGGACACCGATTCTGCCCATCCCGCCAGTCCTACGCCCGGGAGGAGGAGGCGCAGGTCAGAATAACTGAAATCACCTCTCCAGCAAACATACTTGGAGGATTTAACCACAGAACTTGCAGGGCAGTGACTAAAAGCACGTTGGACTGATAGTGTAAAACCCAACTGGGCTCAGCACAGGCCAAATAATGAAAAAATTAGTTTTCACAGCGTGAACAGCTTTTCTGAAACTCTGAAAGCTATCGGAAATGTAAATTAATGGCAATGTATTCTTTCTGCCAAGTCTATTATAACTTTCCTTCAGCTGCTCTGGGGAGCCGGTGACTCACCAAGTTGTGTGATTCAGCACAGCAACTCTAATTTCAGTGCCCTTTCCCTTCCGCAGTTCGTATGTACAGTGATTGCCATCCTCCTGCATTATTTCTACATGAGCACCTTTGCGTGGATGTTCGTGGAGCAGCTCCACATCTACCGGATGCTGACCGAAGTGAGGAACATCAACTTTGGGCACATGCGGTTCTACTACGTCGTTGGCTGGGGCATTCCCGCCATTATAACAGGTACCAAAAGTCAACAGAGACCACTCACCAACCCCAAAACAGCTTTGTTTGCTTTCCCTGCCATCTTCCCTGGCCAGTTTCAGGAAAGTTACCCTGTCCAAGACAGCTGTGCGTGCATTCAAGCGCTGCTGTCACTGAAGTGCTTTCCTGAATAAGGGCAACACCAAATAATGAATACCAGAAGTCAGCCTGAGTTTGGCAGATCCGTGCATCAAATATCCATTGTCCCAGTAAAAGCGATACTGAGGGTTTTACAATTCATAAACATAACTGAATGCTGATTCAAACAGGATTTGTTAACGTTGCTTGGGAATAACATTTTTATGGTAATGATTTTGCCTTGCGGCATGCAGAAATTTTCCTCCCCGTGCTGGTAGCTGCAGGGCGTAGACGCACGGGCTGGTGGGGAGCTGGCTGCAGCGGCTTCGGAAGCGCCGTTACCCGCTGGGCGTTCCTGCCCTCCGCTGGACGTTCCCGCTGCCCACCCTCCAGCAGCAGGAACTGGTCCGTGGAGGGGATTTCAGCAGTCTGTTTATCTTGGCGAGAAAGCAGACTGGGAATATTTGAGCAGCCTCTTACTTCATTACAGATACAACGGCAATAACTTCCAGTCTAAGAAAAATAATGAAAAGCTGGAGGCAGTAATCTTTTAAACTCTTCCAGTGTGATCCACAGGAGCACACCTATCTCCGCTTTCACCGTGCCTATTTTTGCAGTCAGACATTTCACGGGCTACCTTAAGCACATGGTGCCGCGTTAATTCAGGCAGACAGCTCCTTGGGAAGTGCGCTTCACAGAACAGTTGGCGCGGGGTTTTTTAGTTCAACTATTTCAGGATAGATCTGTTGCCATATGGGAACTCAAATCATAGTCAGAGAGTTAAATTTTACACAGTTACTTTTATTTTTACAGATAACAAAATACTGTCAGTAATGACAGAACTTTAGCTGTCTCTCAAATCAAATAGCTATCGCTCAGGTACACTAGGAAAAATATTACAGAACAAGTTAGACTTTTACATATACATGGAGGTTTTCAAATGTGTGACTTAAAAAAGTATAATACACAAGCATAGCATAAGGATAGTACAGATATCCTTTCTGGAGAGCTGGTAACTTTTCCCATATCATCTTGCACATAAATAATTCCTTCTATTATCAGTTTATTCAGGATATAGGGGCAGGTACATCCTTGAAGGCTCTACCACTCTGGACATGTTCCTGATATTTTAAATACGAATTGTCTTTAAACTGCTAGAATATTTCAAACCTGTGTAGCTTTTATCAGTACACACAAGACTACTGCAATATATTCAAGAACATTTAAGTACCCTCAAATAATTGATAGCTCCATTTCTGTTAGAAATGGCATGTTGTCATTAAATAGCAGTAAACAATAAACAATTTGTATTTCAGAGCTTTCGTAACTCTTCAGAATAATTTTGTCAGAAAGATTTTCTATTTCATGTTTAAAGTGTTCCTCTCCTGAATTTTAAAAGGATTGAGACTTTCTCAATAGCAATGTTATGCAATTTAAATGTTAGAAGCTGCACCGTTTTTCCATTTTTCTTCGTAGATACTGTTCTGTGTAATATGGAACTATTTTCCACTATTACAACTATGCATATAGTATGAATTAGGGTTCCAGGTTGTCTGCTGTCATTTAAGCTATGAAACTACTGAGTTTACAGGTTTTGCTGAATGAAGGATGAAGTGAAATAAGCCATTAGTTTGCCCTCCCAATTTTAGCAATCCTCTGAAGAGAAAATTATTTCATCCTAAGTAAAATAGCAGAGTATGGGATTTCTTGCCTCTGGATCACTTTGTTACCATATGTATTTTAAGTAGGCTTCTTTTATAAATTTTAAACTTTAATGTCAAAAGAGTAAGAAGGTTCCAACCTTATAATATGCATCTTAAATACAGCTTCTTTTAAATTTCTTTATGACAGACGCATTGTATATGTTTCTGAATAGTAGGAAAGTCTAGCTATGGGAAGGGATTTTAGTCTTGGACATCCAAAGGATATTTTTCTAATTTAAAGGGTAAATATCCAGCCCAATTCATCTCTGTCATAGCTATCCTGAAGAAGTGAAGCTACAGCAGCAGTGGATTTACCCCATTGTATTTCTTTTTTTGTTATTTTCCATACTCAAAACCACATTCATTTCAGCCTGAGGCATAGTGATCCTAAGGGGGATGGGACCAGACTGCTTGCTAAAGGAAACCTTGAGCTTTAGGGAGGAAAAAAGCCTTAACAAAATGTTTTTGTAGGGAACTGTCCAAGAGGGAAGAAGCACATTTAATCACACAATACAAAAGCAAATTGCTATGATGAAATGTAGGCTGGAAGTTGGGAGAGGGCTTATACCCATCCAAAGAGTGAGGGTCTGGGGTATTCTCCTTGGGGAGTGATAGTGGGAAATTTTAAATTTGCTTTAAGCTGGTTCATTTTAAGATGGATCAGATCCATCTAGGAAGGGTATTTTATTACTTCCTTGCCTCAGGAGCAAAAGGCTGGATTTGGCACCCAGTGGGACCCCTCCCGTTCGGAGCGTCTTTGTGAAAACACACTACCTAGTTGCTATATGTACGCAGGGATTGCTTTGCCATGGAGACAGCAATGCTCCTGTTAAAACAGGTTCTTACTTAGCCCACTCTTTCTTCTAAAATCAATAGCCCCCAGACAATGGCGTTTTCTGAATCTGCAGATTTGCTGCGAACAATGAGCGAGGTGATGAGTCAGAGGTGTGGTGAGCCTGGGGGAGCAGCCCCGAGTCCTGCACGCCTTCAGAGCCTGCAGGAGCTCGGAGGGGTGAAACGTGTTTGGCACGCTCCTTGGGTGGATGCTGGTCCCTCACCGCAGGCCACTTGGCTTGGCTGTCAAATCAACCCGTTCCTGGGAACATCAGTGCGCTGAGCATGTTACATGGCAGTCCTCAACTCATGCTGCCTGGGACAACGAGACTGCAGCAGTTAACTGATGTGCCAGCATGATTCTTTGTATTAAATTGCTCTGGCTCAATTCTACCTTTGGGTAAAATGCCATTTCACATATTATTGTCTGCAGTAAAATTTAAGCCACATACCTGAAGACTGCAATTTGCCCTATTTGTTTAATGGAGAATTTTAGGGTAGGATTTTGAGAGTGAAAAAATGTTGCTGTCTGCCAGTTAATCTTAGAGCCAGATGTTTGGTCAAACTGTAGTTTAAGTTCCACTAATAGGGAGATCAAGTCCTGGGAAACAGACTGTGTCTATAGAGTTACATCTGTGTAAAATACTTTATGGTCCCTTAATCATTTATGGCTAATTCCTTCTGGATGGTAACTGCTAAAGGTGGTGATGAAAAGGCCAATAGGAGCACAGAGAGAGCGAGCAATCCTATCTCATTCCACACATCAGAGAAAACAGATCCAATATCCACTGCTTTGCCAAAGAGCCAGTTTAATTTTCATAGCGTGTAGGCCTGTACCAGATGTGAATACTGGCTGTATTCCAGACTTTATAGGGCCAGGGTGAAATGCAGCTACCTCTCCTTTTTTCAGTGTCTTTTCATCAAACTCTGCAGGCTTCAATTCAAACAGGTGTTTATTAGTACACATGACTTATCATGGAGGAGAACAGCACTGCTGCCTCCTTGGATGCCTCTTTGAGTCAGGACATGCGCTTATTGCCATAGGTGCCTTCCAACACCTAAACAACGTGCTGCAGCCATTTACTGTATGTCATTGGCCATAGGCCTTGTCGGATCATGTTCTGGGTCTTCAGGAAGGAAGAACTCTGCAGTATTTTGCAGATCCAAGGCCGCAATCCCAGTCCATTTCCATATGGACAAGGTTTAGGTCACAAAATCAGCATTCCAGGCAGAGGTTCACCTCAGAGGTTCCCATGGAAATGTCCAAGCTTCAAAAACTAAAACAATAAAAGGTATGTTCTTAACTCAGTAGCCTTGGGGACATTAGCACACTTCATTTAAAACGGTAGTGAAAGCAAGGTGAGGTAGGCACTTTCCTGGGTTAGCAGCTTACAATGAATCTCAGGCTTTCAGCTGGGCTTGAACTCAGGCAGTTAACTTGCATTAGTTCCCAGGTTCCTTTGTCTCGGTTGTTATTTTAATGACAGTAAGCTCACTGGAGTTAAGAATGACCTTTTTTTTGTAGTGCAGACATCTCTTCAGCTATGATTCATGTCATTCTGCTGCATAAACTTATTGAAATTCCTCAGCATGTCACTCACCCTAAAGGTTTGACCGCGCTGTTATGAACCTACTATAAAATTGTGTTGAAGCACAATTAACTTGGGACGTGGATTTATTATAGTTTTATGTAGCCAAATGTTGTAGGCAAATTCATAGTGTCATTTAATATGGAATGACTAAAGTAAAGATTTTGATCTACCAAAATTTTATTTCACTATTTGCCTTGATTTTTACTTTCTAGACTGTGCTATTGATGTCATTTTACCGTTATCATTTTTGTTTGTCAAACAGTGATTTCTAAACATTATTACTGTGCCTAACTATATAGAAGGTCTCACCTTTCTAATGTCCTTTTTCTCCGTTTTGTGACTCAGGACTTGCTGTTGGTCTGGACCCACAAGGCTACGGAAACCCTGATTTCTGCTGGTTGTCTGTTCATGACACCCTTATCTGGAGTTTTGCTGGGCCCATCGCAATTGTTGTAGTTGTAAGTATGGTGGAGTTGGCATCCTGAGCTGCCTCTGCCTTACTATCACCTTTCTTTTTTGTTTTGTCAATCAGTAGTCACAATCTGAGGAAACTGCATTCTTTACATCAACAAAATGAGCCATAACATGTGACTAGGGCCAGACTTTATTTATCCAGAAATTCTGAAGGAATATTAAATAATTCTAATGTCAGGAATTCTAAATTGGCTGGTGTTTAACTTCTGACTTAAAACTTTCCTTAATAATAGAAGACTGGAAGATACATATCTATGGAGTGACCATATCTTGAATGCCAAGTGTAGTTCTGGTCCCCCCATCTCAAAAAGCATGAAGCAGACTTGGAGAAGGTGTAGAGAGGTGTCACAAGAGTTGCCAGAGATACAGGACAGCCTCCACTGAAGGAGCAGCTAAGGGGACTAGGAGCCTTTAGCCTAGAGAAGAGAAAGCAGTGGAGGGGGAGATAAGGTAGAAGCCTGTAATAGTGTGAGTGGTGTGGAGAAGACTGTGCACCTAACTGTTCAGTGTCTTTTCCAATGCAAGTAGTGGAAGGAGGTGACAGGTTCAAAGCAAAAAGGAGGAACTACCTTGTCATTCAGCATGGAGTCCAGTTCTGGAATTCCCTGAAGCAGGACACTGATGGTGGTAAAAAGCTTCAAAAAGTGACAGGACCAGTTCACAGCATAAATATTCACCATGGATGACTAAGTACAAACACACCCAATATATCACAGCTCTGGAAATCACTGGAGGCTGGAGGAGCATCCTGAGGAATTATTGCTATAGGCTTGCTCTATTCTTATATTATATTCCTCTATATTATTTCCTCTATTCCAGGGAAAATAAGATGCTGGGCTAAGTAGAATCTGCTTTGGTTGTGGACAGCCATTCTTGAGTTCTTGTATTTCACTCAAGCCCCTTGTCGTAGGGCAGTCTTACTGGGTTTCAGTGGGATGGAGTCCTAGGACGTTCTTGACTACTATTGGCTTGAAACGAGATGAATTTTGGAACTGGAAGAGACATGTAAATTGAAAGACAAATATTCTTGGCACTGCAACCCTTTTTGGATAAGAATTTCATTGTCAATAAAAACTGAGTTCTAACAAATTTACAGAAAAAAAAACTATGCTGTTATTTCAATTTCTCTTTCAGATAAACACTGTCATCTTCATACTAGCAATGAAAGCATCATGCAGACGAAGGCAACGTTCATTTGAGAAAAACGGAGTCATGTAAGTTTGGAGCCAGAATTCAAAAACCTGTAGAAGTTCTGGCCAGGAATAATAAAGGGACAGGTTGCCTTAAGGCAACCGTCAGGGTGGGGAGCAAATAAGGCATTTGGAGAAGGAGCCAGTCTGCATTGGTAGAGGAAATTGGAGTCATTTTACCATCATCTATTCCTGGGGTGCTCTTGGATAAATGTCCAGCAGGGTGCTTGGTACTGCGGACAAGACAGGAGAAGAGAAGAAAGAATTAGACTGGTTATTCTGGGTGACCATTACTGTCCTTCCAGATCTTTCAACATATTCCCTACTACAAAATAGGTGCTCAGCCCATGGGAATTTCAAGGCAGATGAAATTCTGGGAGAGGCTCTCTTCGTGGTAGCCCTTGGCTCAGAAAGGTCTCCTCTAACGAATGCAGAAATTACAGGATTTGTTTTGGCAGACTTTCTGTGTTTGCCATGCTGAAGACCAGCCACCATCCCCCGTTCTCCTCCCCATGGGATGAGCAGAAAGCCCCACAAGCTGCAACCTGCCGCATTTCCTAGCTATTATGGCAGCCTGTTCTCATTAGCTTGTATTTTGCCCAAAGCTTATAATTTACCTGTGAACTAAAGTGTGATTAGCTAGTGGCAAGACAGCCTTTCTTTTTTTTCAAATAGGTAGCTATATGAGATGTCAAAAGGTTTCTTTTAGCTATTTATTCAACTCTGGCTGTTGGGTTACTTTTTTGAGTTTCTTTTTTAAACCTCCCTAAACAAATGGAGTATAATTGCAACGTAGAGGCAGCTATTTTACTCGTAATCTACATTTTGCAGAAATAACATTTTTCCAGTAGAACC